AACACCTTGTAACCAAATGTAACCAAATTCAAGGTTATTTTGGATAGAAGTGGGTTAATCATAGCCGGACTATTTCAGGTCTATAGTTAACTTAACTTTGGTGAAATGACAGATATTGCTTGCTGGGTACCATCATAGGTAAAGGTAAACACCACTCTTCATAAAATGCCTGTTTTATCTAATTAATTACATTGTGTATATGTGTGTAAATATTGTTGTGTAGTTGACCTGTCTGTCCTGGGTATAATAAATAATCTACCCAGCATGCACGTGTTTGTGCTACAGAGTGAGCTACTCAATCTTTTAATTGGAATGACTTCACATGTAAACTGGCCCGACAAAGGCACTTGCCTCTGGGCTGGTTTTAAAACGTTCAGTCCAAACTATGCATCCATCTGGTTGTCTCTCCCAACCCCCATCTTTTTCTCTCGCTCCGTCTCTTTCACTCTCTCTTCATTCTCTTCCCATGATGATCTTATTTTCTTTGTTCATAACATTTGTCACCTTTGTCTACATTGATAAATGTCACAGTTGGTTTATACTTCATTTACTGTATGTTCATGAAGCGAAGAATCACATATTAGATATAAAGCTCTTGTTGAGTCAGCTGCTCTGAAATGTATCTTAGTCACTATTGGTTAGTCCTTACAAGCACCTTCAACAGATGGATCCATTCAGTTAAATACCCAATTTGGGTATTATTTTATGCACTATTTCATGATTTTTTTGTATAGTGCGAGTAGTGTTCACACTGACAATTCTTTAAAGAACAAATGACTTCAAATACCCAGATGATGCACTTATTAAATAAAAACACAATTTCTGTCATTAATTACTCACCCTCATGTCATTCCAATCCTGTAGAACTTTCTTTCATCTTTGGATCACAAATGAAGATATTCTTTGATGAAATTCGAGAGCTTTCTGACCCCTCCATAGACAGCAATGCAACAACCACTTCCAAGGTCCAGAAAGCTAGTGAAGAAATACATCATTAAAAGTCTACATGCGACTACCGTTCAATCTTAATGTTTTGAAGCAACGCAGACTGATCTCATGAAGTAGCGTGTGTTTGACACGGCAATTCCATTTTTGGCGTGCTATCAACACGCATAATCGCTTTTCAGCGTGTTTATGAACGCCGTTGACTTAACGTTATTACTGTATATGTAAATATATGACTTACCTCAACCCCGTCCCTAAACCTACCCGTCTCTGGGGTTAATTGCATTTATATGACTGTTCCCTTACCATCCTAGAAAAGAAAAAGATAGCTGTAGAGATAGCCCCAGATGTAGATCTACATTTTGCTTTGTTTCGCTCGGACATTTGACGCCGTGTACAGACACGTGGAATCACGTTAATGGTGACGTTAATGGTGTAGACATACACGCATACACGTGGATACACGCAGATAGCTCAAAATGCGTAGAGATAATACGCTACGTCGCCCGTGACCTTTTAAACGTAATTACGTATTACGTGACGTTACAAACGCACACTCACAGAATAGAGCAAGGCTAGCATTTGTCCTTAGAAAAGTTACATTTTTGGAATAAGTTTTGAAATAAGCAATCGTTTCGCATGATAAGACCCTTATTCATCGTCTGGTGTCGTTTAAAGACATTTGAAGCTGCATCTGAAACTGTTATTGACTGTCTTTTGGACCTTGAACCATCTGGTTCCCATTGAAGTCCATTATATGGAGAAAAATCCTGGAATGTTTTCATCAAAAACCTTAATTTCTTTTCAACTGAGGAAAGAAAGACATGGACATCTTGGATGACATGGGGGTGATTAAATTATCAGCAAAAGTTTTTTAAAAAGTGAACTAATCCTTTAATGTAAAAAAAAATACATTACTGTTGCACTCTATTAGACTCGGACGTTAAATGACAAAATAACTTTATAAAAATCATACACTGGATAATAGAGTACCCAGTCTATATAGTGTATAATGTAGGATTTAATGTTGTTGTTTTTTTGGAGGTGAAAAAGCCACTAATCACAGCCCATAAATAATCTATTTCTGCAGGATGCATGATTGAGGATTAAGGATCAATAGTGATGTATTGATTAACCATTGTGAAATTACCATGCCTGTTCTCTGTTACAGCTTCAGTGATTGGTATGGCTTTCGAGGCACCGGCGTCCTCAGGCCACTGCACATCAGTGCAAGCAATTGGCCATGAAGATATCAGAGCATTGTAATTATCTTCATGTTTTGTGTTGTAGCCTTGATGCACACCATTGGATGGGCTAAGCTGCAAGAGAAAGCCCCAGGCCTGTTTTAAATAGCATCATACATCTCTGTGAGACCAAACGTTTTCCTGGAACACAGAAATGTCATTTGTGAGAGTATATATTGATCGTTTCATATTTGATACTGCTGTTTTAGTTGTAATATGCGATTCAGGAAGCAAAGACTAAAACCGTCATTGTTCACAAGAGTATAAGCGCAGGGTGGAAGAGAGTCTCAGGTGGTCTTGAAGAGACATGCACAGGCAGGCCAATAATAGAGCTTTTCTTAAAGGAATATTCACCCCAAAAATTACAAGTTTGTAACGATGGCAATGAGTAAATAACACAATTTCATTTTTGGGCATACTATTTCTTTAAGCCAGTGCTACAGAGGAATGGAAAGTCAGAAAGGGAGGACTTTAATTAAAGCACCACCATTGATCTCAAAGCAGACTGCTGATGCTGTTGGCAATGCGCAGCTCTCACTCTAATTATACTGTGTAAAAAGGTCTGCCCCACTCGACTGTCTCCCTCTTTTTTTTTCATTAATGCATCTCTGTCTTTCCCTCCATATCTCTCGCCCCCTCTCTCCCTCTGACTGACAGATAGCTGCTCTCCCTGTTGATCTTTAAAAGATGCCAACTGGAATTTGTCATCGTCCTGGTCCCCCTTTCCCCTGACAGAAAATCATTGATTTTTGTCGCCCTGTTGGAATAATGATAAGGATTATTGTCGGGCGAGGGAAACGGCATGCTGGTTTTGGGCTTGGATGCTTTACATGGATTCAGTGGGGTGGAAAGGTTTGAAATTCACATGAAAACAGGTGCAATGCAATATGCATACAGCCCACCTAGAAATACTGCACACATGAATTCTAATGGAAACTAATGGGTGATTAAGTGGAAAATGGCATGTGATGATGGACTATATTTATGAAATTGTCTGAAAGGGCCGATAGACCGATTGTATCAGTAAATTGGCTTTTGGAATTAAATGTCTGGTGCATTTAGGATCCTCTGCATATTTATTATGCCTCTGTTTTGGTTTTGAATTTCAAAGCTGATTTGTTTTAGACACTGGCATCAGGTAGATTACAGTGGAAAATATGCTTAAAGACAAAATGGGAGTAACAGGGGAAGGTCCCTGCAGAGATTCATATTAAAATCAGCATGTAAATCAAATCTATCCAAAATGAACGCGCCAGCGGCTAGGCTCTAATCGAATTAATCTTCGTCTGGTCTGCACACTTAAGGCGAATGACACCCTAAAGGGATCTAAATAGAATCCAGTGTAACAAATTTGCGAATTCTCTGTTCACGGATCACTTATCCAAATCAAGTAGATTGTTTTCACATCCATTTCCTCAAGGAAGTATCAGTGATTCAAGGATAGTTTGCCAAAAAATAGTGTTGAAACTAACTGCAGAAATGAATAAAGCAAGGGAGAGGGAGATTTAAGAATAAAATGCTATACCGTCAATATCCTTTTTTTTATCAACATCAAGATTTAAGACCCTTATTTAGACCAAATTTTAAATTGTCCTGCTGGTTGACAAATAATTTACTAAACTACAAATATTCAATGTAGTTTCTTGAGTAAATGATACTTTAAACTAATGCATGCATATGAATTGGGAAAGAATCAGCTAAATACTGTTTAGATGGAATATAACGTTACAGCATGTAACGTTACCACAGAAAATATACCAATACGTTTTTATTATTATTAAAAGACTTTCATGGGGGTCAACGTTGGGGAATTTTTGTTTTATAAAAATGTATTGTAATCTTCAAGAGAAAAAATGCTTCCTGTTAACCTCGCGCAATTTAAATAGTCCTTTTTTCGCAGCTAGCTTCATTAGCTAATAGTAGGCTAATGTATTCTTAAGACGTTTCCAACATAATCCTTTGTAATTTGACTTTAAGAAGTTTAAAATAAACCTTTATGCTTTTAAAGTTTTTTGTGATAGATTTTTGTTACATAAAACCTCAAATAAAGTGATAAATATTGACAGGACTTACGTTTGTGAACCGCTCGATATCCCTGTTGAGAAGGCTATGACGCGCATGCGCTTGTTCACGAGCGCCAATTCAGAGGATTAGTAAACAAACAAATAATAATAAAAAAGAAATACTGTGTTGTTTAAACCAGGTTTTAACCTAGTTATGTCAAATATGGGCAAACCCAACCGATGTGTTCAAAATATAATTAAAAAATTAAACCAACGGTATATGTCCATATATTTGACCCAAAAATGGGTTGAAACAACCCATCATATTTTTTTTAGAGTGAACTTGTTATTCAACTGTTGAAACGTCCATAAATATGTTTAAACATAATGCATACTTTAAAATCCCCCTACTCTCTCACTCGTCCTCAAAATTCTTGCTTTGCCTTCAATTGCTAACGACAGTGCTGCTGAATTAACTGAATAAAGAGGATGGGGGTTTCATTCATAGCCTATTTTGGTTTCAGGGGGTGTAAAAGTGCAACCAATTACATATAAAGAAAATCACTGAAAAATCACTGGCAGTTATGGTGTTTCCGTCATTTGATCGCCGTGGTGATGATCAGGGAACATTTGCTGTGATTTCAGCACTGGACAGTGCCTGTGTGAACGCGTTGGACTGGGAGGAGCGCGCGCTCAGGCAGAACTTCTAGAACGACAGAAGAACCACATGAACCCACGAAACAGACTGAATGTCCTCAGCAGCCAACCAAGACAGACAGAGAGAGAGAGAGAGAGAGAGAGAGAGAGAGAGAGTGGACGGATCGAGCGCTTGACGCATAACCCCGCCTCCTCGGCTCAGAAGATGGAAATCCTGCCCTAGTTTACCACATTCAGCGCACCTCGTTTACCAGGGTACCAGGGTTCGTTACTCCTTTACGCATTCGTTCTCCATTAATCTCCTTTCAAGATAGTAGATCTTCTAAACGGATTCTCCAGCACACCTGTGCCTCACATGCGTTAAGTATGTACTGCTGAGGGATTTCTTATTTTTTTTTAACCAAACGAGCTCCAGCTGTTGTATCACCCCGGGCATCAGATCATCCGTCACGTTCATGAGAGGGACGACAGACAGCGCGATGGACCCGCAAACCGCCTGCTGATGTTCAGGGTCCACGATGGATTCCTGCGTGTCTACTTCAGCATTCCCATATAACGGATTCATAAATGGAGGAGGAGAGTGACAGCCGAAAAATTAACAACAGCTTCCTTCGGGACCACAACTATGCAACCGAAGGTATTTGGAAAATCGAATTGAATTCGATTCTCACTTATATTAATGACGGTGACGGACGGTGGGGGCGTGGGGCTTCTCTTCGAGACTCTCCTGTATATGAATGTGTTGCATGGACATTGGGCGTTAGTGCTTTTTGGTGCATTGATGATTCTCGTACTTGATCTGAAAGTCTTACAGTGTGCAGAACCCCGGATGCTTCTCCTGTTTTTATGGGCTTAGGACTATATATAGACCTTGCATTAGTCTGAGCTCTGGTTTTAAGGTGTTACTATGGGGCAGTGGCCATTGAGATGTGACGTGTACAATGAGTCAGATATGACTGGCATGACAGAACACCGCAGACATTTTTGGAGTGATTATTAAGAGACAACTGAGATTCAAAACAGTACATTTGGCACTATCATTATTTGAAATTGCTTTAAAGCAGGTAAATAAAATAATATAATCCACATTAACAGTATTGGAAGTTATGCATACTTTGGTAGTAGTTTTACATGTGACATGTGTAATGGATGGGAGTTTGTAAACCCAATGACTCCATCTTCAGTCTGTTTTACAGCCACATGTTTAAAATGCAGGTGCAAGATAAAGCCTGGCACGTTTAAAGCAAATATTTGAGGTGAACAATCTCCTGTCATGTTTGGAAGCATATAGATGTATAGCAGGAAAGCTAGCTCTGGGCGTGGTGGCGGTGGTGGGCATCTTCCTGGGCAGTGATTAATGGCTGTGGGAGGTTTTGCAAAACAGACTTAATGAGCAAAATCAATCTGTAGCTGTTGGACTCGAATGCCCCTGGTTTCCTTGGTTTATGGCCTGTCTAGTGCCCACCCCGGCTTTCTGTAAATCACACAGTAGCAGTGGAGCGTTTGCTCAGACGCACACACCCCTACATACCATAAGCCGCACAGTGTCTTTCACCGGCAAACGTGGCCCTCGCTGTCTCGCTGCTATGGTGCAGGTAGTCTCAAAGTATTGTGGCTGACTGCATTCTGTATGCATTAAGATTGGTACCTGAAATCAGAAGCAGTTTATGCCAATCCCTGGCAGTTAGTTATTTATTTCACATTATATGTATAAATTATGTTTAAAAAGACCATCTCAAAGCATATATTTTGGACCCTACCAGTTCTCTTTGCAGTATATGTGGCTTCACAGCTGTTTTCAGTGCTGTTCTAGATGTTTTGCTGCTTTTTGGGGAGAGCTCAAATTTGATATCTGTCCTAGTTACACAGACTCACAGCTGGTGCTTTAGTGTTGCATGACTGTGGTACAACCTAGGATAGAACCAAGTATTCAAGATTGGGGAAGACCAAAGGTTCTTACAATTGAAAAAAAAAAAAAAAAAAAAACTTATTCGGGTGGATGCACATCCCTTACAATGTGCTTACACGCACAAGAATATTAATTGGGATTTGGTGAGTGTCATTTGAACATATCACCTAAATATGCCCAAACAAAGGTGATTCTGGGTGATTTCAGATTCAGACAGAAAAGGCTAACTTTTGGAGCGAGAAAACTCTTACTTAACATCTGGCCTACATTTGGCAAATTACCATGCTTGTGTTTTTACACAATGAGTTAAGTTGTTCAAGTTACTGATCAAAATTACAAGAATGCATGAAAGATAATCTCCAGTATTTTCACACTGGCTGATTGCATAATATACAAAACCCCAGTAGCTGAATAGCATGCAAAAAGACTTTTAGCCTCTTAAAGGAGTAGTTTACTTTTAAAAAAATATTGCTGATAATTCACTCACCCCCATGTCATCCAAGATATCCACGTATTTCTTTCTTCAGTCGAAAAGAAATTAATTAGAATTTTCTCCATAGAATGGACTTCAATGGGAACCAAATGGTTCAAGGTCCAAATGAGAGTTTCATTGCAGCTTCAAAGGGCTTTAAACAACACCAGACGATGAATAAGGGTCTTATCTAGCGAAACGATCGGTCATTTAAAAAATAAATTAAATTAATAAATAAATTAAGCACAAATGCTCGCCTTGCTCTGTTCTTTGATGAGCGTTTGTGACTCTCCTGTTCAAACTCGTTCATCAAAATGAACAAATCTTTTTTCGAGTCATGACTCGAAGGGCCCTATATAAGACCCTTATTCATCGTCTGGTGTCGTTTAAAGCCTTTTGAAGCTGCACTGAAACTCTCATTTGGACCTTGAACCGTTTGGTTCCCAATGAAGTCCAGTATTTGGAGAAAATCCTGGAATGTTTTCATCAAAAACCTTAATTTCTTTTTGACTGAAGAAAGAAAGACGTGGACATCTTGGATGACATGGGGGTGAGTAAATTATCAGCAAAAGTGAACTACTCCTTTAATCAAAATAAAGACTCTTTATTGGTTTCAATGTTTCTGTGAAGAACATTTAACACATATGGAACCTTTCCACAAAAAAGTTTTTATAGTGGAAAAAAGGGGTTCTTTCGATTATTAAAATATTTGTTAATGTTACACTAAGAAAATAATGGTTCACTAAAGTTCACTAAAAGGTTCATTGGGGAAACCAAAATGATTACCTATTGCTGCAAAAACCACCTTTTGGAATAGAAAAGGGAATTACTAGACTATGGATCTCAATCGTAAAATTATGTGCATGTACAAATGGTCATTGTCTGTGTTTTTTTGCAGTCCTGTGTTAGACTATGGCTTTAACATGCCATGGCATTCCCAAAATCCATAAATGTGTTTGCATTTAGCTGTTACAATCTAGGTTGCACTCGTTCACCCCGCCCCCTCTCCACTATGTGCATACCCATACTGCCTTGCTCACGTGATGCAGGAGATGATGGTGGTATTTCCCCACTGCAGACTTGCTCGGAGGCGTAATTGAGGTTCAGGGTTACTCTCGCTCAGTGTTTCTCTCCCGCAGGCTGTGGAGGCTGCAGCAATATAACCCTTGTGTGCTTCTGTCAATAGACACATATAGGAAATGAGCATCTGAGTTCAGAGTGGTTGAAATTCTCCATTGGGATCACTTACACCAGAAAGTAATGTGTGTTGATGCACATTCCAAGCACGGTTTGATTTTGATTATCGAGTGCACTCTTTTCTGAAACAACCAGTGCTGTCTGCCCTATGACCCAGCAACGTGACCTACTAAAGGACCCCTTCTCTTCCCCAATTTATCTAATTCACTGAAGTGCCATGGCTGTTGTAATTGGATTTCGCGAGGGTAACTTTGTAGTCCCAGTAGTGGTTTGTTGGGTCCCAAACCTAATAAAGCCCTGACAGATAGGTGATAGAAAGGTACACCCAATATTTGCATCCCCTTTCTTACACTAAAAAGAAATATTAAATTACACCATGGGGGTTCATAAAGACCTTTAGAGTTAATATTTCACATATGCAATGAAAACTTTTAATATCTCCTTATTTATTGCGTTTTTCCAACGGGAGTCGTGTTTGCTCACACTTGGGGAACATTCAAGGTGCGGCGGCGTAATTCTCCCGCATTTCATTTGCACTGGGAATCCCAGCGTTCCCTGCATTGAAACACAAGCAGAACATGTGCAGCGATAACCATCGTCTCTAGTGGAATAAAACGCACCGAAATAAATGAAATTTAGTTTCATTAGCATAACACAGATGCTTTCGGCATGACAGCACTAATAGCTGGAGGATGGATGCGACCATGCTGAGAAAGAGAAAGAGATTCAGTTTGTCTGTTAGGTTGCATGGGTGTAATTGACCAGAACGATCCCCCCTACTTGCTTACACATCAGTCCATTCCACCACCCACGCTACACAACACACTAATGAATGAGAAAACGCCCTGAAACACTGACAAGATCATCAATCGCTGCAAGCTAGCAAAGTAGCTGAGCTTCGAAAAACTCATAGGGAGAGAGAAAGATAAAAATATTGCCTGGCAGAGAAAAGGCTTTGCGGTACTCCAATCTGCACTGCAGGGCCCGACGCCAGCAGAACTTAGCCTGGATAGACAGTATTGGACTCCCGGTTCTGCGCAGGCAGCTGGCCCAGGCTCAGGTACATTACTGCTTATGTGGGCACTAGTGTACTAAAAGGAGGAGATTGCAGAATTAAGATGTTAGGTCACCTCATTCTAGGCCAATCTTATCTTAGTTTAATATAGTCTAACCTCACCACAGTCTTACCTCATTCTTACCTCACCGCCAGAGTACCTCACTACATCGTAATACAAGATTACCTCAATGGGTACATAAATAACAGGTACATTGCTCTCAACAGACACATGAAGTCACACACTAGTTGTCTTCATAAATATTGTTTTGGACATAATATTTTATCTTGATTAATTATTGTTTTGATAACTCTAGTGGCAATTCCCAATACTCCAGTAGCAGGGTTTGGCCAGAGGCGGTTGTTGAATCGAGTAGGTCCCAGAGTGTACCTGGATAAACCTATAAAAAAAAAGATGACTAAATAAAAATCACATTAAATTAATTACTAATAATCAGATACAATTGCATGGAGCCAGAATTGTCAAATTTGAATAAAACAAACACTTGCAGATGTCTCATTAAAGAACAAGAATACAACGCACGTTTGTGACTATTCTGTAACAACTCGTTCATCAAAATGAACAAATCTTTTTCTGAGTCATTTGGTTCATTCAACGAACGAAACGAACGAATTGACTCGAAAAAAGATTTGTTCATTTTGATAGACGAGTTCTAACAGGAGAGTCACGAACGTCCAGAGCAAAGTGAGCATTTGAGCTTAAAAAACTTAAACTTTGTTTTGTTTTTTTAAATCAGCGATCGTTTCGCTTGATAAGACCCCTATTCATCGTCTGGAATCGTTTAAAGCCCTTTGAACAGTTTGCAGTTTGCACTGAAACTGTCTTTTGGACCTTGAACCGTTTGGTTCCCATTGTATGGAGAAAAATCCTGGAATGTTTTCATCAAAAATCTTAATTTCTTTTCGACTGAAGAAAGAAAGACATGGATATCTTGGATGACATGCGGGTGAGTAAATTATCAGCAAAAGTTTTAAAAAAAATGA